TATATATATATATATATATATATATATATATATATATATATATATATATATATATATATATATATTGATATACAAATATATGCACGTTTGTATAGAACTCCCGCATGTGATAGGTCGCGTCTAACCTTCTATAATCTATATCCTAGTTACAGACCAGGCCAGACTGCGACACCAGAAATCCAAATCTTACTGGAACCGCTTCTGACATACGGAAGTATCACACCAAATCCGACGGGACATACGCGGAATGAAACATACCACCTGAACAATCCATGTGTACAAATAGTACATAGACAAGAATTGTAAACAGAGACAAGAATAACAGGCATAGGCCCATCTGCGACGATGATTGACCCCAGCCATTCCCGTCCACTCTCTCGCAGAGGTGCGCTTGGACCGCATAGATACTCATCCTGCACATGGCCCATGCAGGACCGATTGCACCCAAACATAACCCAACTCCGATACCTTAGAACCCTAAACCCGAGAACCCATATATACATATTCACACCACAGGCGGGATTATCCAACATACCACTTGATCGATCCTTGCTTGCAATCGATGCAGGAACAGGATGGTCAACACAGACTCAGAAGACGCGATGACAAACACCAGCCAGCTCAGCCCACTCTCATGCAGTAGAGCACGTGCAGTCCATAGCACACCCAGGCAGCAACACACGGCATCTGTGAACTGTCTGGAGGTGTATGTATTTAACTGTGAGAAAGTACGTGTATATAAATGTGTCAAAGTGTATGCTAATATTGTGAGCCGGAGTATGTATATAAAAAGTGTATGTATATAACACAGCCAGTTCAACCCACTCCCTCGTAGCAGATACATACATATATATATATATATATATATATTCGCTGTAAAGCCGTACCTGGGTGTTAGGAGGTACATGGCATAATCCGTTACCATGACAATACTGAATGGGAAGGCGAAGAACGGAGCACACAGTTCTCGACGTATGGATGGCACCCAATGCGACAGATCAGACCGTGTCAGCAGTTTGGGGATCATTCGATTACACCAAAATCCAGGCTGAGTGTAGGTAAATGAGTGAATCAAGGTATGCCCAACGTAAATTCTCGAACTGTCGTTGATTACTTTCTTGATTTAACATCAAATTGAAAGAAGACCGTCGAGCAATGTCTGATACAGACAACAAGCAAACACACACACACACACACATGTATTAACAACGAATACCAATTACACAAGCAACAAGCAAACACGCACACCTGTACTAACAACGAATACCAATTACACAGACAATAAGCAAACACACACACACACACACCTGTACTAACAACGAATACCAATTATACAGACATCAAGCAAACACGCACACACACACACACACATGTACCAACAACGAATACCAAATACACAGACAACAAGACAACACACACACACACACACACCTGTACTAACAACGAATACTAAATACACAGACAACAAGCAAACAAACACACACACACACACACACATGTACCATAAACGAATATCAAATACACAGAC